TTTGTTACACAGCAGAAACTAACACACCATTGTAAAGCAGTTATACTCCAATAAAGATGTTAAAAAATAAAATTAAAAAAAAAAGAAATTTTTTTTAAAAAACATGAAAAGAAAAATGGATTGCTCAGCCCGAGTCAATGGTTTTCAAAATAAGCTCAGTGAAACCAGGTTGTCTGATGTGCCAAGCCCTCCACTGGGCTCCATGAAAAGAATTCTGTTTTTTTAAAGCCTCATTTTCACACAACTCCTTAGGAAGGATTCTGAGGCTTTAACTAAAAAAAGTTGAAAAACATTGGTGTTCACAGTCTCTTTCATTTCCATAAAGGTCTATGAAGAGATAAATCTAACATCTGAGGTCACTGTGGAAGAAATTCTGTAAAAAACTAAACTATTTCTTTTCTGTTTTGTTTACCTTCTCCACAGAGGGTGCACATGCGCACACACACACACACAAGACCACATCCCTGTTCCTTGGTTTCACATTCCAAATCTCAGCTGGTCTTTCCCAAATAAAAGAGAGTAAACTTTCCTTATGAAATTTCTAATAAAGACCCAACTGATAATGACTCTATCTTAGGAAGATGATGGAAGAACAGAGAAGCGTCTTTTATTGCCTTCCCTCCTGCGGAAAATTGCATTATTATTCTCAAGTATGAACTCTCCCTTCCTGTAGGATCTCATCAGCCCTCGCCCATGCCTTGTGGCTTACAGTATCTCCTGCAGGAGAACACGAGCCCACCCCATTGACGGTGGTCTTGACTGTGGGACTTGCTTTAGCCAATGACTTGTGAGTGGCCTTGACAGAGACCACACGTAAGGAGAAGTGTTAAGAGATATAGCACATTATCTCTGCTTTTTTCCCACTGCTATAAGAATGGTATGTCCCAAATAGGAGCTTCTCCTTTGACCTACATTCTAGAAGGAAGAAAACACGAGAAGTAGATCTGTAGCCAGATGGTAGTGACACACCTCTGACATGTCATATGGCCAGGTAATAAATCTCTGTGATGATAAGGCACTGAGATTTGGGGATCATTTGTTATTGCAGCAAAACTGATGGATATACTTCCTGTTCATGCCCGCTACTCTCTACAGCTATAACAAAGGCAGATAGAGTCTCACTACCTGCCCTCGGAGGAAGTTTAAGGGATAAAAACAAAGCTAGTCCCACACCTGGGGAAACTCTGGCTCTGTGGATGACCCTGAATGTGTGTCTACTCTATTCAAGACTCCATCCCTGCTTTGAAGAATATAAAGGTCTAGAAGAAGGGGGTGGGGATGGAAAGGGAGATGCTTATGAAAAGAAGCCTCAAAGATTGTGACATTAAAAAGCCAGAATAGAAAAAAGGGGGAACTTGACTTTCAAATGCACCTCATGTCAGAGGAGAAAAGACACCCCACCTCTGCCAACACACATCCACACTCACCACCTTACCCTGGAGATAGTTCTGTTGAGCTGCCCAGTGATTCCTGAGAAGTCAGCTTCTAAGTTGAATAAGCTGGTGAGACCAATATGGGGGAGTATCTCTTCCAGGTTATATGTTCCAGAAATGGAAAACCTTGGCAAATGCAAATCCAACAGGCTGGGGAGAGAATCAGACGGAGAAGCACTGCTGTCTCGTTATCTGTGCTGCTTTTGACGTGTCTGGGGGCAGCCTGAGCTTTGGGAAGGAGATGTGATTCTCAGAGTGTGGGAACCAGTCTTCTCATGACACTACCTGCTATGCCAGGACATTCCACAACCCAGAGCTTCCTTCTCTTCAGACCTCACAGAGAGTCTGTGTCTGGATCTGAGAAGACTCCTGGCATAGCCATAGGTCTTCATCTTTGCCACATTTCTGGAGGGCTTTCTAGGTGCCAGACATTGGATTACAAGGCTTCACTGATCGAAGCCATGTAATAACCATGGAAGTTAAGTATGGTTAACGTTATCCCACCTCCATATCCAATTCATCAGCAAGCTCTGTTGGCTCAGATTCTGAACTATATCCTAAATCCATCTACTGGCAACTCCCTAATAGAAGGTACACCATCTCTCACCTGTCTGAGCTTCATGGCCTGTTGAAGATCTGATGAGAGATCATGCATGTACAGTGTGGGCACAAATCAATGGAATAACTCTCCCTCCTGTTATTGTCATGCCTTTGCCATCAGATTGCCATATTCCTTGTGCTACATTCACAAGTTTCTTGTGACCCATAGAAAAGCTGTCCCTTTCTTCCTGAGATTATTCTCCTCTGAAATTATTGTCTGACAGTTGCCATGACACCCGCAAGCTTGCTTAGTTAATAGCCAGCTTGGAAACTTCTGCCTCGAATGAATTCAGATTAGACATGCTAATTCAGGTTAGAGCATCTTTACCAGTTTAACTCCTGGGCCAATATGAGGGTCCTGATGTCTAACTGAAATGGGAGGTAGTTGGAAGTCAGGGGTTGAATGGTGAAAGAAAGGAAACAAATGTGGACAACAGAAAACAGGGCTTACTTGACATAATTTTTTCACAGGTAGAACTTGGAGAGTAGGCCCTACCATGGAGGGGGCTTTGAGTACAGTCTAGCTGAGGGATGTCTGTTAGAGAGCCCAACGCAGAGTAGGTGTTCAATCAGTGTAAATGAAGAAATGGAGTTACCAGGAAGCATGATTCCTCTGAAAAAACTAACCTTTCTCACAGCTGAATGGAGGGAAACCTGGCAGCCTGAATTTTCCATGTCTGAAAGCCCATTCAAATGTTGCCATGATATTGTAACTCTCGGGCACAAGAAATGGTATCAGGGAGCAGCATCTAAGTTTAGAAAAATAACTTGGATTGGTTTTGATTTTTGAAGGTCTAAGTGGCAGGTCAAAAGAGACCCTTCCTAAGGGAAAACCTACTGGTCTAGAAGATCCTATAGTATTTCCTCCTGTGATGGGGGAAGGGGCAGGTTCACTCCAAGGGCGCTTAGGAATATGGGGCTGGAATCAGAAACTGATCAGACCTATGTAGATTCACAGACAACAGGAATAATACTTTAAATCCTGGCTTCTGTTCTTGACCTGTATCTCTTTTATTTGGTACTTGAATCTCTACCCCAAAACAAAACACCCTTTCTCTATCCTTGATACCTCAATGTCACTGGGGTGCTGAGAGAAGGCTCCCGTGGACATGCAGGTGACTGATGCCTACCAGTCGGTGATGGTGGATTAAAGATGGACATCAAGATGTTTAGTCTATATGCCCCCCGTCCCTTGAATCTGGTGGGTTCTGTGAATGATCTGACCAATAGAATATGGCAGAAATGACACTGGCAAATTTCTGAGCCCAGGTCTTAAGAGAGTGGGAGCCTTCACTTCCTGCCTTTTAGAACGCTCCTTCTTGGGGCCCTGAGCTGTCATATAACAATATCAACTGTGCTGAGCTGCTGTGCAGAAGCCCAAGCTAGCCTCATGGACATGCTGCATGGAGAGAGAGAGAGGTGCCTGCTCGGCCCTTAGCTCAGCCAGCCGGCCAGCCCAGCCTCCAGACATCTGAGTGGAGGAGTCTTCAGTATTCCCCCCCTGGCCACCATCTGACTCCATCCTTGAGAGACCCAAGTGAGAACCACCCAGCTGAGCCCAGTCCACCACAGAATTGAGAGAGATACCAGATGGGTTTTTTTTCAAGCCATTCCATTTTGGGGTGGTTTGTTATCCAGCAAGAAGTAATTAGAACTTGAGGCCAGATTTTATCCCAGAGTGCCCCATAAAGGAAGATACACTTCAAGAATGGGTAGCTGGAGTATGAGGTCTAGGGAAACCAGAAAAGGCTAAAACCACTGTGAGAAAAACCACAAACCAAAAAGCAAGTGAGATGGAAGGGGGTAGGTAGAGATTCCCCCAAACTGGCAATTGGCATTTTGATTTTTGCAATGTTTTTCTTGGTATTTAATTTTTTAAAGAAATGTTTTAATTAAAACAGAGGCACTCTTAAGAAATACCCACTGTTCTGTGGGGGTCATAATTATTCTTAATAATTGTCCTTGATCTGATTTGTTGCCTACACTTAACTACCTTCTGGTAGTAAATTATTATTTGGAGAAAAAGAGAAGAGCAAAGGCAGGAAGATGTCTGGGAGGGGATAAGAATGATTAATGCCTGGTGAGCACTTCTCCTGCACCAGGTACCAATTTCATATTCTATACATATTAACTCGATTAATCCTCCAACCAACCAATGTGGTGGTTATCATGGCCCCATTTTACATGTGAGGAAATTCAAGGCCCGAAGAGCAAGAATTGCCGAAGACCACACAGTTGGTTAGCTGGTAGGGCAGTGAGCCAAGCCAGGGCTTAGGGTCTTGCAACTGGAGTTGATCAAGGCCTGCTCGAGCTCTTGAACAAAGTCCTTGCACTCTGGCACTTACCTGGGGAGGAGCAGTTGATCCCATTTCCTCAGGGTCTCTGGCTGCAGGGCAGCCTCTACCTGAGCCATCTTTCCCGGGTCAGGGAGGATCAGCAGGGCCAGGGCGTTTCCACTGTATTCCATCTGGAGGACGGTGCAGGCCACCTCCTGGTCGTAGAGGAACCTGTGCATTTCCTTTTGGTGCATCATGGGGATGCGGAGAGAGGTCCTCTCATCCACAAAGAAGCTCTCTTGCTTTGGGGTCTGGTAGCAATTCAAAGGATGCTTCCACTTGGCTTAGAACACAAAACCCACAAAACCATGAGAACACACTCTAAGAGAGCAAGTCTAGGCAGACATGCACTACGCCACGCTGGTTAGAGATGCAGAATCTGTCACAGTCTTGTCCCCGTGTGTAGTATCTCGTCTCTTTCTACTTATAATCTCCACTGACAACCACCTCCTGACAGCACCGATCTTGGTGACAGGGAGAGGGGGCTGGCTCATCCTGTCCCTCACGCCCACTTCCAAGTGACCAAGTACTGCTGATTCTGCCTCCAAAGCCACACCTTGATTTGAGACCACCGTCTTAACTTTGAACCATCTCACTAAGCTAACTTGTCTCTGTTCTTCCACCCTTATTCTCATTTCCCAAATTGTAGCCAGACTGAACTTTCTACAACAGGTATGTCACTGCACTGCTTTGGACGTTTTGGTGATTTGGGGATCCTAAGATAAAGTCTAGGGTTCTCAGCACAGCCCCTGATTACTTTTTTTATTACAACTCTCAGCACTCCCACCGAGGCATTCCGCTATCGCGTTCTACGCTCCAGTCCAACTAAATTTGTTTCTTGAAAGTCAATGGTCGCTCTTTTCCTTGGACCTTTCCTCACCTTTGGAGAAGCAAAGATGATTCAGACTCAGACTGTAATGGTTGAACCCATGGATGTGAGGGATACACGCCAACCCTAGGATAGCGGTTGCCTCTGGGGAGGGATGGAAGGAGGAAAATGGGACTAAGGGATGATTAAAAAGGAATTGAACTGTATCTGCAATATTACATTTTTAAAAAAAAATAAAAATCTGAAGTAAATAGTAAAAATGTTAATATTTGCTGATTCTTGGTGGGAGGGAGCGCATGGTGGATTCTATGTCATTCTCTGCATATTTCTGTAGGTTTGAAATAGGCAATAATATAAAAAATAAAATATTTCTCTAAAAAATGAAGTATTAATAGAAAAGTGAGATTGAGTGTCAGTGGTATTAAAAACCAGGATAAAAGTAGAATAGGAAAAACATGGCAAGAGAAATCAAATATTGATAAATTACGAAGTAGCCCTATAAGAACATTATTTAAATATACAGAGGCAACTTTCAGAAGAAACAGCTACAGGCTTCTAGATAGGTGCCTTTTAGGGGCAGGGCTGGGGATGGAGGAGCCGGAGGTAGCCCTCACCTTTGAAGAATATGTAATTCAAGAGAACCATGAGCGTGTCTTGGGTGAGCTCCTCCAGGAAGTCCACGACCTGCCCATACGTTTGCTTCTTCACGAAGTCGTTTATCTGCCTCCTAGTTGTATTAGAGTCCGTGAAATTGACAGAAAAAGCGAAAGCCCGGTACAGCTCCCTGATGTTGCCCAAAGAGTGCTGCTGTGGCTTCAGCTGCTTGTCCAGGAACAGGGAGTTGCCTACTTTCAGTTCAAGTTTGGGGCTGGGCAGGTCAAGGGTGTGGATGAGGCTCTGGAAGCCCCGATGGATGTCAGCTTCTGGCGTCTCCGTGAGGTTGAAGCCGAGGCCTTCCAGGATCTGAGCTGGAGTGTCAGCTTGCGCCCCCAGAGAGAGCAGGGCCAGGGTGCTGGAGATGCTCACCGGGGAGAAGAAGATGTTTCCTGAGGTTTCTGCTGCCAGCTGCTTATATAGACGCAAAGCGAAGTTGGTAATGGTGGGTGTGATTTTGCGGTAGGCCGGGAGGGCTTCCGAGAGCTGGCCACGGGGAGCTTCAGGCACCCCCAGGCTCTTATCTCGGCGGGCAGGAAAGGGTTGCCAGTAGACAGAGGCCAGGATCCCCGCTCCCAGCAGCCACTGCCACGCTGGCCCCATCCTCTAAAAACAAGATGGTGAACACATCATTCTCCTTCATAAGTGGCTTCACAGTGCTTCACATTTACATTCGTCAGGGAATTTACATTTACATTTACATTCGGCAAACCTCCCATCCAAACTGGATCCCACGGAGGTGTCAGGCGGGGTATTGTAGAGCAGGGGTCCCCAACCCCTGGGCCGCACAGCAAGAGGGGAGCGGCGGACAAGCAAGCAAAGCTTCATCTGCTGCTCCCCATTGCCTGCGTTACCGCCTGGACCATCGCTCCGCAACTAGGTCCATGGAAAAATTGTCTTCCACGTAACAGGTACCTGATGCCAAAAAGTTTGGGGACCGCTGCTACGGAGGGTGAGGCGGCGATGAGCCAGCGGGCTCCAGACGCTTTCCCCCAGGCTAGAGTCAGAGCAGCGGCCTCTTGTCTGCTTTACATATTGATTTGCCTGTAAGATTTTGCTGAGAAAAGGACTCTGGGCTATTAAAAAAAGAACTTCTGTGGTCTTTTCTGCCTGCATTCCTCCCTGCATCTATCTTTCCTCCCTCTCTTCCTTCCTTCCTTCCTTCTTTTTCTTTTATCTTTCTCCTTTCCAGTCATTCTTTCAATCACTCGTTAACTTTCAAAGACTGGGGCAACCCTCAATACTATGGAACAAATGGTCAGGACACTGTGACACAAGTGATGTTGGACTTCCCCTGCACCTAGGTGTTGCCAGTAACTAGAATCTTGCTGACTGGAGGGGAGAGGATGATGTGTGGAACTCCTGGGCCAGGCTCTCCCAGAAAGAGGAGTGCCCTCTACTTTTCTGGTCTCCATTCGCTGGAGTGTGGATGCGACGATCAGCCCTGGGGACCTTGCGGGTGGGCACAGCTCGTGAGGAATGAGGGGTGGCAAAGCCGCAGGATAGATGGAGCCTGAGGGTGGGGAAGAGACAAGAAAGATCTACTCTGTCTCCATCAAACCTGCTATTTCGAGTACCTCTTGTCACGCGCAAGGGCTGAAACCTGTATCTTAGTTGATGGAGAGTTTAAGGAAAGATATCTGTTAAATTGTACCCCCCGCCCCACAAATTCATATGTTGAAGTCCTAATCCCCAGCATGTCAGAATGTGATCTTGTTTGGAAATAGTGTCATTGAGATGTAACTAGTTAATATGAGGTTAATATGGGCCCTAATCTAATATGACTGGTGTTTTTATAAAAAGGGGAAATTGGACACAGACATACACACAGGGAGAAGGAGATGTAAAGATGAAGGCAGAAATCAATCAGGGTGACGCTCTACAAGTCCCGGGACACCAAAGATTGCCAGCAAACCCCCAGCAGCCAAGAGAAAGGCCTGGAACAGACTGTCCCTCAGAGCCTCAGAAGGAGCCAACCCTGCCAACGCCTTGATCTTGGACTTCTAGTCCTCAGAGCTGTGAGAATCCGTTCCTGTTGTTTAAGCTGGGTGGAAGTTTGTTATGGCAGCCCCAGGAAACAAATGCAGTAACTCCTGTGCTTTAAGTTATAAAATGTGCCACAAGAGCCTTCGTGTCACCCGAGGGGTTCAAAGTGCTTCAGGGTTGGGAGCGAAGCCCCAGCTCAAGGTGAAGCTGCAGTGTAGACAATGTGCTTGTCACACACACATCCCCACGTGCACACACTCGGACCCCCCCCATCCCCCGCCTTGCTGTCCTCCATAAGGAGTCTCGTCCCCTCGCTCCCTTCAAAACTGACCCTTCTGTTGTCCCATTGCCACAGCGGCTGCCCACAGCTAATCACCCCATCCTTGTTGCTCACCTGTCCTGATAAATTTTGTGTCTTATTCAGCAACTTTAATACCTTTTGCCCAAACCAATGACCTCTGGGTCGCTTACATATTTTTGTAGATGATTTATAGCGCCTGGTGCTCTAAATACCCAACCAAACCCCCAAGGCCAGTTGTCAGGAGGGACGAATCTAGCCGCGTTATCGATTACGTTGAAACACATTTGCTGGTCAAAGTACTGCAGGTAGTTTCCCAACGCCACGTCCCACCCCCTCCAGCACAGTTTGCTGTAGGCCCGCTTAATTTCTGTTCATATTGGGAAGCAGAACAACTTAAAGATTGATCTGCTCCTGGGGAAAATTAGAAGTACAGCTGTAATAAAACTATTTCCAGTTTATTCTTTTTACCCCAATGAACTCACCACCATTTTCTACTTACCGAACCCCCAGGATACCCAAACTTGCAGAGGATCTATTTCCCAGAGGACTGAATTGTAAGTCAGGGGGTCCGGGTTTGAATCAAGGCTCTGCAGTTAAATCACTGGGTGATACTATGTAAAGGAAGCTCTCTGAACTGCAGTGTGTTATTTGTAAAATGCAAATGACAATGCCTACCTCCTGGCGGTGGGGCTGCTTGTGGATTATAAGACGTAATGTCATGTATATAGCACGCGGCACATAGGAAGTATATGCAGTGTTAATTTTTCACTCCTTTCTACTGAGGCTGGATACAGTTACACCCAATTTATTCCTTTATTCCTTTTCCAGAAAGATCCCAGAGGAAAATGAAGAACTCCATGAATTAATTATAATATCCCTATTTATTATTTCTTTTATGGTAGGGATATTAGCTATATTGTATCATTGGTTCCCAGACAGATTTGTTCTCAAATGCAGGGGGAGGGATGTATGTGAAGCGGGGATAGTATTTGGATCATCTCAAAGCCTGGAGAAGGAGGTGCTATTATTGGAGTTTAATGGGAGACAGAAAACTCTCGAAACGCTAGAATAGTCACAGCCAAAGAAGAAGGGTCCGTCCCAAATGCCAGCAGTGCCCCAGTGGAGAAAAACTTGCTTAATTTCTTTAAATTGAATCCTTATGAGAACCTTAAGACCTTGGTAATATTATCCCTGGAGAGAAACACCTATTAAGGAGAGAAACACATAGTAAGTGGCAGGGGCATGATTCAAATTCCAGACCAGGCCCCAGACCAGGTCATCACTCTTTCATATACCAGAGTTTCCAGTAAAGTTGCTGCAACAACTTTATCATTTTGTTTTGGGTTGTATTGTTCCGTTTTCTTGTCTAACTTCAAGGAATACTGGGAGTTTCTCAAAAAATTTAAAGGCCAAGTTATCCATAAAATGTTATTTAAAACCTGAAGTTCCTACTTCAAGCCTTAGAAGGAGTGCACCATCACGTTTTTCCTTTAGGGGACTCAGTTCTCCCATTTATTCTGCCAAAGTGAGAGAGAGAGAGAGAGAGAGAGAGAGAGCTGCCACCCCGGCCTTCATTTCAGACACAAGCGTGGTACTCACAGCAAGGTCCCTGGGCTGGGGGCCCTGGGTCTTCAGCGCTGCATCACCTCCTACCCACAGGAAAATAGTGTTTGAAGGTCATGGCAGCCTAGTCAATATTTGTCAGGTCAATTCCTGGAACCGGTATGAAAACAGGAAGTGACCTTTTCTTCAAAGTTTCTGCCCTGCCAGCCTGTCCTACAAAGTGAATTGTGACTCCGGGCCCAGCTTGGTTTGAGGATGTTCTCAGTTGGAGATGGCAGCCGGGGGTCGTGATGCGGAAGCTGTTGATCCTTACCTGTGTGTGGTGCATTCCGGGCAGTTTTCTTTATGAACCACCCTCACAATATTAATGTGAAATGTTAACTATACCTACTGTGGCGATCATTTCACAGTATCTGTAAATCAGTCCATCATGCTGTATACCTTTAACTTACACAGTGATGGATGTCAATTATTTCTCAATGAAACTGGGACCATTAAAGAATGCGAGAGGCATGATTCTCTCTACTTTACAAATGGGAAGCTAAGGCCCAGTGAGGTCAGTAACTCGTTCGCTCACTAAGTGGGTGGTGGAGCCATCCTCAGAAGACAGATCTGACCCCCCGGCTGAGGCCTTCACTGCAGCACTAAACCATTCCGGTATTTTACTGGTGCTTTAAATAAATATGATCCATGTACAGGAAAAAAAAGACTGGAAGGAAATTCAGAGAATAGAGCAAAATTTTCTCTCCCGCCATATCAAAAGCTTTGTAAAGTGGGATCATTGTTTTTTTTTTTTTTTTTTTTTTTTTATGCGGGCCTCTCACTGTTGTGGCCTCTCCCGTTGTGGAGCACAGGCTCTGGATGCGCAGGCTCAGCGGCCATGGCTCACATGGCTCCCGGACCGGGGCACGAACCCATGTCCCCTGCATCGGCAGGCGGACTCTCAACCACTGCACCACCAGGGAAGCCCGATCATTGATTTTTGTTTACCTAAGATCTAGAACCAAGCGTGGAACTAAATGAATATTTTTTATGAGTGAGTCTTTTGGTGATGGAATTGGGTAATTTTTATGTTCTTTGTAGATTTTTGTCTTCTCTTAATTTCTCAAAAAGAGCATGTATTTTATTTTTAACAAAAAACAATAAAACATTGTTAAAAAGTAGAATTATTTAATTGTACATGTAAAGCAAAATAAAAGCTCATTCAGGTCGGCACAGTGGTTCCAATCAAAAGGCACTTTTAAAACATAAAGGCTCCTAGGATACTGAATCTGATGCTATGATAGGGCGGGGCTGGAGGTACCTCTGGCCTGTCTGGTGTGCTGAAGCCCCAGATGGAGAGCAGAAGGTACTCACAGTAGGACCCAACAGGTGTGTGCTGGAAAGGTGAAAGCCAAGGACACTTTGGCCAGGCACTGATGGAGTCTGGTACACCCACTGATGTTTGAGACACTACCCCTGGGTCTAGAACAGTGCCGAGAACTTTCTGGGTGCTTTATAAAGACACATTTGCTGTATGAATAAACAAAAAAATTGAAGTACACGGCCAGAGTTCCTTTCTCACCTAAGAGGAATCCAGTTCACTCTTGGCTTGCACATAAATTACTTGGCTCTTTACAATCGTGTGTCACACGCTAGGGAAGAAGAAACAATCCCGGGAGACTAACATTTTGGAGTCTATTACAGACCCTGCCACAGTAGAGACCCTCACAGAGCTGTGGTGGGAATGAAACGTTTGTACATGGGCAACGTTTATGCAGTGCCTGGCCCAGAGCAAGGAGAGAGAGAGAGAGAGACAGAGAGAGGGATTTTAAGGAATTGGTTCACGCACGTGATTATGGAGGATGGCAAGTCCAAAGTCTACAGAGTAGCCTATCAGCCTGGAGACCCAAGAAGAGTGGACATTGCAGGTCAAGTCCGAAGGCTGCCTGCTGGTAGAATTCCTTCTTGTTCAGGGGATGTCAGTCTTTGTTCTATTAAGGCCTTCAACTTATGGAAGGCAGTCTGCTTTACCCAAAGTCCACCAATTTAAATGTTAATCATCCCCCTAAACACCCTCACCAAAACATCCGGAAGAATGTTCAACCACATATGAGGGCACTGTGGCCCAGGCAAGTTGACACATAAAATTGACTATCACACACGTCGTGTGTTAGTAGGAAAGAGGATTGAGTAGCACCTCCTTGGGTTGCTTGGTTTCCTTCCTGGAGTGCAAACCTTTGACCCTGGTGCACAGACACCTCACCTGTGTGTCCAATCTCAGAGGCAAAGGGCAGGAAAATGTGCCCTTACACATATGAAAGTAAACGCCTCTCACCATCAACCTTGGAATCACACCAGCTCACTGCTGCAGTCATAGAAAAAGCCTACCCTGGCCTCTAGTGAAGACATCACATTCGTGGCACCAAAGTTTGTGAGATGGCACAGCTCGCCATGAGCTTGGGCAGATGGGCTTGGTTAAGTCTGCAGAGTTGATCTGGGTGCCGACTGCTTCTCAGTCGTTTCCCGGGCTTTTTCCTATATGTGCCAATAATCTTCTTGTTTCACGTGCCACTGCCTACCTCCCTTTAGCGTGTGGGACACTGGACCCTCAGTATCCTCTACTAAATGGGTCCAGGCCCCCAACATCCTCACGAGCACCTTCCCCCTCTGCTTCTGCCGTGGGTCTGCTTGGAGATAAGACATACACAAGCATGGATCTCTAGCCCTTCCTCCCTCTGGTTATGCTGTTGACTCACTTCCTGCACATTTTCTAGAACAATCCACTTTACTGTTCCTCTCTCGAGCTAGCTTCCTTATTGAGCCACTTCTCCAAGCTGCTCTTGTGGCCCATCCCCAGGCCTCTCCTTTCTTGGAGCTTGGGTTGTTAAGTGGTGATGCAAGTGACAAGCTCTTTTCTTGGGCATTTGAGCATCCTTGTTAAAGGAATGAAAGTTTTAGCCCTGAAGTGACTCCTTTGGTAGTGGACGGAGTTCCTTCAGGGTCACATCGTTCCCAGAAGAGAATACTTGGGTTGTGTCCTAGACCCCGCCACAGAGGGACTTGTGTGGTTTGGGGTGACCAGCCCTCTCTCATCCAGTCCAAGGCTCCCGGGTCTAATTGTGGGCCCCCAGGTGGCTCTGGCTTGGTCCTGTCATCGCATGGCTCTGCAGTCAGTGCCCCCTGCCCCGTCTTTGGCCTCCAATCTCATTCCTGGCCTTGTGTTTTCAGCACTGAGCCTGGGCTCTCTACCAGAAGAGTTTTATTTCACCCTCTGTCCTAGTCTGCTGCGGTTGCTGCTCTGAACTAGCCCACCCAGGCAAGGTCCCGCCTCTTGGGTATCACTCTTGGGTCAGCCTGTTTGGCCAGTGTCTTTGCCAGCTGTGCCCATGGCCTCTGGATCTGACTTCCCTAGTCAAATGTCTGGTTTCCATCAGACTCCATGATCCCTCCCATATGTCCAAGGCAGGTCATGGCCAGCCAGCTAGTTCCCAAGTCCCAGCCTCTCAAACACACACACACACACACACACGCACACACACACACACACACACACACACGCACACACACACACGCACACACACACACACACACACACACACACACGCACACACACACACACACACACAGTCCTGTTTTCCCCTCATCAGTTTTAGTTCGTTTCCAGTAGGGGGCAGTAATAACTCCCTCATAGAGGGTTGTCGTAAAGATGAAAAGAGACTAGAGCATGGGGCAGAGAAGATGCTGCCAACATATCTGGGATCCTCTACTTCTCCGGGTATCCCCATTTCCCCCTGGAGCTGGGTGAACACATGGAAGCCCACTGAGGTGTCTGTGGGTACCAACCCTCTTCCCAGCCTCCTCTCTGCTGTGGGACCTGCCTCTGCCCGAAGCTGCCTGGGGGAGTTAGTATAGCTCCTCTTGTACAGATGAGACGACAGGCTCTGATTCCAGCTGGACAGGAAGCAAGCCTGGACAGGAAGCAAGCCACCGACGGAAACAGCTCCCCCGCACCTGCTCACCCCCCTCAGAATTGCTTCCCTGCCTATGTCAGCCTTCTTCCAGGACAGAAGGTGCCCCAGCCAAATGTCTCTGGCAGGCCCTCAACCTGCTTCTTATCTTGCTCTGTTCTTGGACAGAAGACCAGCAGTGGCCCTCCCCACTCCATTCCCAGACCACACTTGTCAGTCTCAGCATTTTGATGCACAGGGTGGTGAATTGTATTCATTTTATTCATGACCAGCTAAGTTCCTGCGCAGCACAGCCTGGCCCCTCTACTCAGTTTTGGGGTTTAAGACTTTGCCCACAAAGAGGTCTCTTTGAGTCATCTGATCCTCCACAAACAGCAAGAAGGGTCTATTGAACTTCACGACCACAGGGACCTCCTTCGTGTCCACGGGGACCTTCCACACGTCCGCGTCCTTGGCTGCATCCGTGATTAAGCCACGCTCGCTCACCTCTATCTCAGCTTGATGCACGGCCTGGGAGAGACAGTTTCCTTCTCAGCTCTGGGAGTGAACTCACCTGGCTGGCTGGAGAGCAAGCCGGGGCGGTGTGCCCAACTATCTCCTGTGGTCAAGATCAGGGAGGCAGCTTCCCTCCATGGCCGATGGCAGGTGGAGGAAAGCTGACTTCCATTCCTAGAAAACCGCCCTCAGCTCCCAGCAGCTGGGTTCACCATTGAAGGCCAGATGTCCCCGAGTGGGGTTGATACTAGGGTTGGTAATTGTTGAGTTCAGACTTTTTCAGCACAGGGCAGACAGCTCAAGGCGTTAACATGTTTAAAAAGCAGGAAAGGGGAATAAAACACAGAGGAAGGCTGGGTGGTCTGTAGGCTTAGAAAAAAATCCCATAGAACGACTGAGAGATAGTCATTTCCAACACTTTCAAGAAGAATGTGATAAAAACTACTAGGGGGCTAGTTGTTCTTGTCTCCATACATGCAAGGACAATTTAACCTCCGTGTAAAAGTGTTTGTGCCGGAACATGCATGTTGGCCTCCCTGATCTGCAAGAGGCCCTGCTGGGGAACGTGGCCATGACATTGCCTGCATTACTGGTGATGGATTCAACATCTCTCAAACCCAGCCCAACAACCGGCACTCAGGGCACACCTGCCGGGTGGGTTCTGTTTGAATTGGACATGGTAAGTAGTGCTTATACCCACTGGGCCACGGGAAGCACAGCATCCCCTCGGGGTCCCAACCCTGGGA